TGCAGCTGTTGCTGGCTTTGGGGCCAATGCTCTCGTTCCCCTGAGGCATAGCAAAGCAGACCTAAGGAGAGAGAAGGACAGTCAACATCTCAACCAGGCTGTAACTTAACTTCTGGGCTGCTGCTTCTGTTTGGATAACACTTCTGCGAGTCTGTCTTAGAAACATCTTGCACTTGGTCCCATCCCACCAGAGGTTGTGAACACCAGAGGAGTGAAGCTACCCTGATAAACATTTAGAATTCTCTCCCCATATGACCTGATCTTGTCATTCTCATTCCTCCTGTATGCAGCATCGAGAGCTAGGTTACGGTGACATGCGGCCATGGGATCGAAAATCCTTATTTCAAAGAAGGCTCGCTGTCCCCGTGTCCAGAATCCTCGAGCACTGACGTCCACACTGGCTTCGTTGGATGTGTTTGAAGTCCTGTGATGGAAGTTCTCACCATCCAATGGAAGGAGGGGCGGTTCCACTATGACGTCGTAGCAGATATCCTTCAGTAAATTTGCTGTGAGGTCCCTTACTTTGTCATGCCTCATGCATACGAAGCCCCCTTTCTTGCACATCATGGCGTTGTTGATGTCGTAGGATGAGCCACACATGCATTGGGAGGGCAAACCTTCTACTGGCCTACCGTATTAGAGCAATGGCATCTGTGAATTCTTGTTTATTAAGGATGAAGCCTTTTTCCGTTATCGGTAACATTGTTAGCCAGTTTGAGGTGCCCACCTCCTGCGCTATAGCTACTTTTTTTCCAAGTTCTCTGGCAATTGCTGCAACAGTTGCTGCAGTTTATCACTTGGGTGTGCTGCCGTTCTGTCGTAATGGACCGTCGAATCTTGTTTAATTTGTTGGTATCCACCTGACTTGCTGCATTCTGAGCTATTATATGCTCAGTGAGAGCTGCTGTGAGCTTGACAGAGTTCTGATGTTATGTAGCAGCAAGCTCCTCTGGATTAGTCAATCCCATTCCTCCCAGACTCTGTGGTAGTGCAATGAGTGTCCTTTCTGCTGGGGTTAAATAAGGATTATTCACTAGTGTTGGGATAAAAGCGACCTTGATGGCTTCTTCCAGAGGGTGGAGGAGGGGTTCGATATCAGGGATAGTGCACATCAGGTAATTCCAGCGAATGCCACATGTGGCTCTGTTTTAGCAATATCAGACAGAGCTTGGATTTCCCTCACCCACTCATTTACGTTTCCCATTACGTACTTGGTCTTGAAGTCATTTGTGCCAATTTCCACACCTAGATGTCTTTGGCCGTCCTTTTTTATTTTTACCTCACTCCCGCCAAACACCTCCATTGCCCGTACAGTCGACCCTCGTTAATTCGGACCCCTTTAATACGGATTTTGGATTAATCGGACGAAATCTGAACTGTCCATATCAAATTTCTGGTTCTGGGATTGTCCCAGTTGCAATTGGAGTTGCAATTTCAAATTCTGTGTCATTACTAAGGAATAAAGAAGTCACTGGTGTACTGCACTCTAAGATTAAGAGAAAACGGACGACTCAGGCGTCCTGAAGTGAGAGAAAATGGACTTCTTTGACGGGGCACTAAAATAAAGAGAGACATAGCTACATGTTTTGTGGACTACCCACTTTACAGTATCCTTTTCATCACTTTGTAATAAACCTCGTCATGCCTATGTGTTTCTGATAATTACCATAACATTATATATTTATATATTTAGCGGTTGTACAAACACAAGGCCTCACACATGCCATTCAGACTGACAGACTTGACAAGTTTTACCAACCATGAAGACAGTTGAAGCTTTAAACATCACTCACAATGGATCTTGAATATTCCAACTGTAATCACACATAACTAAGTTGCCTCAACAATTGCAACCCCAGTTGCAATTTCAAATTATGTGTCATTACTAAGAAAAAAGAAGTCACTGGTGTACTGCTCTCTAAGATTAAGAGAAAACGGACGACTCAGGAGTGCCGAAGTGAGAGAAAATGGACTCCTATGATGGGGCACTCAAATAAACATACACATAGGTGTATAATGCAATATTATGCAATATTAACCCCCAAATCGGTTAATTCGGACAATCGGCTAAAACGGACACCCTTCCCCCCCCTATTAGTCCGGTTTAACGAGGGTCGACATTACTTAGTGTATTTGGGTGGTACCCTATTTATGGACCTCATGATGTTACCAGGTCCCACCACTTTTTTTATGTCCTCCACTTTTCCTCCTCCTGTCAGGCCATCAGTGTAAGTCACTTGCTTGGCCTTGGTTGTTTCATATTTTATTGTATGTTGGAGCGCGGATAGGCCTAGTGCGTACATTGCCATGGCGACAGGGTTCCCCCTGCGTTGTTCCCTCAGTTGACTGCATGGTGGTATCTCCTCTTGGGGCCTTGAATCTTGTTATATCGAGGTCTGATGGGTTCCTATAGGTGTTTTCAACATAATACTACTACTACTAGGGATAGGATTTTGAAAAGCCCCATGGTTGGCAAGAGTAAAGGTTTCAAAACCTAAGTTGCCCGTTCCTTCACAAAACAATACCTTTAGTGTACATTTAGTTAAATTTAAGTCAAGAATATATAAAATAGCTTAATATAAATTAAATAGTGCAGTAATCAAAATTTTACAGTCCATCTCCTTGAAGATTGTATGTTGCTATAAAATAAGAAAAATGAAGAGCATTTGTGTGTGTGTGTTGGGGGGGGGGAGGGGCTTGGCAGGTTGCCCAGTTAGGCTACCTGTAGCTACATCCCTCTGGCGCTCTCCCCCTACCAGGCAGAGCTGTGTTTTTGTTTATTTTTTAATTGTATTTTTGGGTAGATTTATGTAATTTTTTATTTATTTATTTTTTTTTTACTGTTACATGCACACATACCGTCGTTCATACAGAATATGCAGAAAAAAATATTATCATTAGGTCAAAATAAACATTTCTTACGTCTGTGGGACCACGTTTGTGAGAGGGGGAGGGGAGAGCGTGATCCTGTTGTCCATATCTTTACTAAATGTCATTGCAGTAATTTTTGTTTTATTTTATTTATTAGTATTATTTTTATTAATTCCTCACATTTATGGAGGAATACATTAGACCGAGGAGGAATAAAGACGGCACACTAATCCGTGGATACTTGAAATTCAATGGCGTGGTTGGTGAAATGACGAAGGTGACTTCCTTACTAACTCGTATCACTTTATCATTGCTGAATGATCGTCATACTCACTTCCGAGTGACAGCAAAGTACGTACTGTAGTAGTATTGAGTAAAAACCATGAATAGTACCCGGAAACTGCGAATGGGAAATTTGCGGTTGGCAAAGGTTTACTGTATTATTATTACTAGGTACAGTATTTTCTTGATTTAACGAACTAATTTGGGCCACCCCTTTTCATTAAATCAAAATTTTCGCTAAATTGAACTTTCCTTTATTTTCGCTCGATTTAGCGAACTATTTCACTAATTTGAGTGATTCCGTTAAATTCTGCGCAAAATACTGTATGCCTTTTGGCGCATGGGGTTTGTTTACATCCGCTTACTCTGTGTCTTGCCACCTCCCCATGTGCTGTTCACTGCCACTTCTCAGTCAACTAACTATACTGTGCTTAGACATCAAGCCGAAAGTCTTTCAGAAGTCTCTGAAAAGAAGTGGTGTAGGGGAGAAGGTCAAAGGAGTGTGGCTATCAATTGGAAAAAGTTTGGAATGTAAAAAATGAAAATAAAGCAAACACCGTACCCCCTAGTTTAAGGTAAGCCATGAATAATGCTTCTAATATTTCTATGTACATATCATGTGTCTGAGGTGTCCCTGTAGGTGTGAACGTATTAACGGAATTGATATCGATTTAGCAAACTAGTTCACTAAATCGAGTGAAAAATAATAGAAAAAATTCCTTCCGCTAAATTGAGAGTTCATTATATCAGATTCCGTTAAATTGAGAGTACAGTATACTGTATTGTTTTGTTTTTATTATAGTTTTATTATATTACAGGTATACTGTATTTAAATACAGTATTTGAGATATTTAAGGTGGGGTTTAGTTGAGGGTACAGGATAAGTATAGCAAATTCATCAGTATAGAGGTACACTGTACTGTACTGGAATCTGAGGAGTGGTTCGGTATAGAGAGCAAATAGGCATCACTACTTGTCGAGCTGGTCTTATTGCCACTCCATGATCTACAATAAGCAATATCATCTCTGTACTGTACTGAATATAGATTTGATATTATTAAATAGTGGTCCTCGTTATTTGTACAATCGCCATGCATAGAGTACTCAGGTACATAGAGTGGAGTCGTGACATTTTGCGGGTTAGGTACCAGAAGACAATGAAATAGCAAATCGCAAATTATAGTTTCATTGATTTAAGTGGAAATAATTAGTTAGATTCTTGAGGCCAAAAATATGCATAATTGTTCTAAAGATTTAACAACACTAGATATCATACAAAATACTGTATATCCAAAACTACAGTAACACATAGATACAGTATTGTACAAAAAGTACTTCTATACAGTACAATATTACATAAACAGCTCCTACCCTTCTCATAATCATCCACTGCGCCATGCATAGAGCCACACACAGCAATTAAACTTGCAAACTCAATTTCAAATCTGTGCAGACTTTAAATCTGAGTACAGGGTATTACTGACTTGAATTTTTGTGCTATGACTGTACAGTATTTGCATTAATAATTTGATTTTATATGCATTATGCCTACAGTACATACAGAATTCTATTAAAAATATAATGAGACTAATATTTGTTACACATACTGTAGTAATATTTGTTATGCATAGTATTTCTTAAACTTGCATCTCTTGGCTTTAACATGTTATTCCATGGGATTATTAATTTAACTTTGCACATTTTCGCTTATGGTAGTATGATACTTTTTAAGTAAGTATCTATCATGTTAACCGAACAATACCTGTACGTGTATTTGTTGTTAAAGTGGCAAAAGCATTCTTCAGTGTTATAACTTTTTTTTTTTTTTTTTTTTTATAAATTTTCAGAAAGGTGTAAAGAGGAAAGCAGACGCCATGGCCCCAATGATTGGCAACTCTACTTTAGACGCATTTTCACCTGGGTTAGGAGAAAAGATGGGCAAGATATCTTCTCGGAGAGAGTCAGGGAGACAGATCAAGAAAGTCAACAAGGATTTACCAGATTCTCAGGTAACCTTGAGGGAAGCAACTCAGGTGAATCTCTTTCTTCTGTGTGGCATGTTCATCAACTTTGATCCTCGGGAATGTCATTTGGGACCCTTTTGAGCTTCATTATAATATCAAATATCTAAAAAGTATAAAACTATGTGCAATGCTAGAATGAGAAACAACATTCCAGGTAAACTAGTTAGGGCATCTTACTGGTTGATAAATGCAGAGTTTTGCAAACTTGTGTTATTATCACTATGGCAAAGCTTTTTTCCGACTTGAAAGTGCAAAGGCTGAAAATGACCACGAGTAACATACAAAAGCTGGACTGGAAATATTATGAATTTTATCTGATTGGTAAATATTTTCATGTTCATCATTGTAGATTTATTAAAAAATGTTTGTACAGTACAGTCAGTGTGACCCCAGAAATGTAGCATATTAAAAATATGGTGCAGCAGCATATGATTAATCAACATTCTATTGCATCAACTACAGTATTTCTTAAAGAAAAATGTAATACTGTACAGCACTTTATATCTAAGTGCAGTAAAATATATCATCCAAGAATATATTTTATGAAAATAAATTTTTTGAAAGATTGGGCATTCTAAATTCATGCTCTACATTCTCCAATACTTGATCACTGCTTAGTCATTACAACAGCATAAACACCCGGCGCTTTGTTGATTTTATATTTCCTTCATAATGCTCTCAAATAAACTAAAAGTGATAGTACTGAATGTGAGACTGTTAAAAGGAATCATAAAGTGCTATATTTAAAAGAAAAGGTGGAAATTATGAACTGAGGCAGAATATCATCACCAGAAGAAACTGAAGCAGTAACATCTTAAATTTGTCATATAATTCTTAAGCGCGAAGTTGTTAATGAAATTGTTTTGCTTCGGTATGATGAGGGACCGAGACTTTTTTTTTACCGCTGGATTTATACCCCATTAACACTTTTCTACACGAATGTTCCTAGCCTGATGGAGTGACATCCTCTCATCCGTTAACATGATAAATCACCATCACCATATAATTTAAATATCTTCTCATTTTGCTTCTTCAGATCATATACTGTACAGTACGTACCAACACCATAATCCTCACTCTAAACATTTCACTCAACAACTTTAATCCAAATGCTTCAACAACTAGATTTTCTTCCTAATACTTAGTGAGAGATGCTTCCTCTTGGCACTCCCGTTATCCATGAGATGTCCTGCTGGCTTTTTTTGACATGGCTTGCAGATAATTAGGGCTGAAAATGTATTAGAATCACTAGGGACTTGTGTGTACGCAAGCTGTTCCTAGCACTAGCAGACTAGTGGTGCACATATTTCATATTCCGTTTTTTGCGTCCTTCCGGAGAGGGGGATGCCAGATAAGGAATCCCATAATTGTACCTTGGGGAGTATTTAGAGAAAAAGATATACAGGCAATTTCAGATTTATGAAAGGGTCCTGTTGCTGAAAAATCTTTCATAAATGTTATTTTATTTATTTATTTTATTTTTTTATCGGAGGACATTTTCCCCATGGAAAATTACTGTTGTACAGTGATTTTAAGTCAGAAATAAATAGAAGTTAAATACTGTACACATACATACAGATCAGTACAATATGAATTTTACGATACCTGTACGTGTGTACATACAAGATGCTGGATAACATTTGAAACAGTATAGTACAGTACCAGCATTTATAAATTAATATATTACTATAGTAATACAGTACATTGATTTCTATTCTATAATTGGAGATACTTTTTCTTAATATTTTTTTTAATCTTGATGAGTTATTGCTTCATCCTAAATTCTGCTATTTTGTTGTTGTGGTGCCGTCAGTCAGCTGATGTTACACTCACGCTCTCGTCTGTTTCCTGCAATACCTACACCTCCAATCTTTTGTTCAATTCCAAATTACACACTTTCTGCTTCAATTCTACATCTTCATTTTACATAATTAGGATATGAAATTTAAGAATGCAGAATATTTTTCCCCCACATTTATATGAGAGTAAATGAGGAGAAACTGGACAGTCAGGCACCTGGTGGAGATGAATCTGCTTGTCTCCAGTGAGTTTCAGGAATATATTATATGATGAATGTAGGAAAGGGATGATATATTAAAAGCTTATTTTTAGACTTATAGCATGGCAAGTGTTAGGGAATAATGAAATGATTACTGAAATTAGTAAGCATACTGGTAGTAAAAGATTGCATTGGTTAAGCATATTTTCATTCGCACTTTGAAAAAAAATGAAAAGTAATGAGAGAAAATTTCCTAACTTCAGATTTTTTATTTGAAAATGAAATCATGGGACAAAATTGATTTTTCATAACTTTGATTTTCAAAAACCGAACCTTTGTAAATTGGGGACTGCCTGTATAATATGCGGTAAGGTACATGACTCTACTACCCTGGGAGGGGAAGTGTACTTCTGTGGGAAGAGTTTTATTATTCAGTAATATCCATATTTCTGGGCCTTCCTAAGCTAGGTAGACTTGTAAAGTGACATATTACCGTACTATACTTTTACTTTTGCAGTTCATCATTTGTAGTTCTTCTAATACGTACTGTAGTTACAGTAATGTTAATAAATCTTGTCATCTATATTTGATTGTTAAATGTAAAGGTGAAACCATCAGCACATATATCTTGTATTGTGAAGGTAAAACAGTAATGCCTGTTCATTTTTTTTTCTGATTTTATTTATGTATTTGTTTATTTATTAGATTTTTGTGCTCTCAAACTGTCTTGGCAATCGAAACATCTTTCTAACTTGCCTGCATGAAATGCAGAAGTGGTTACACAGTACTATACCCAGGCATTGTAGTTCTTAATGTCATGGTCATTCATAAAATATAGTTCATGATGAGTTTTATGTTCATCTCAGACTCTAAATTAATGCTTTATCATCTCTTACAATACCAAGTCACTGTGACTTATTTTTTGAGATGTATTGATCATACGTTTTATGGCCAACTCTGGTTCTGCATAATTGCAGCATGCTACAGTCACTTGATGTGCATGATCATCATTTGACTTTTAGTCACAAATAAAAAAAACTGTTGCCCCCCTTTTTGGGGGGATAATCAAGTTCTTGTTGTTAAGGTCATGGCTACATTTTGGGTTCAGAGTTCCGAAGTGGGCTTTTTCGTGTCTCCTCGCTGACTTTTAAATCAACTTTGTCATTTTTTTATGATAAGTTAGTGAAAGGATAAGATGAACAAAATTATGACATGAACAATAGCAAAGTCCATCTATTCTATGAGTAATGTAAAGTATCCTGAAGTTATTTAAAATTATTAGGTACCAATCTAAAGAATCATAAGTGATCTATAGGATTTTATAGTGATTTAAATGATCCAGAAATATTAGTGATCATGTGGTGATCTAAAATGTGCTGAAGCAATCATGGATTAATATAAGTGATCCTTTAGTGATTAAATGATCCTACGGTTATCCAAATGATCCCATCATGATTATAGTGATCATGTTGGGGTTCTTATTATATGATGGTCCAAATGATAACTTTGTGCTTAAAACGATCCTTTGGTTATCGGAATGATTTCATAATGATCCAAATGATCCGTAGTAACCCACTTGATCTAATAGTGAGTCAGGTGGCCCTGTTGTGAACCAAGAGCTTGCTTTATATTTGAGTATGCTGAAGCTGTGTACCTCAACACTGGGAGAAGCAACATGCTTCACTGTTAAGAGACTGACAATCGGCAAACTTTGCAGCCAGCTTTTTTTTTTACAGAAGTAGGCTGGACGTGCTCTCACCTAACTTCTTTATTTCTTCTTTGAAGACTGCACTGCGCACTTTTTCGTTTGTACTGCAGGGGCCATTTTGTAACGAATATTTGAATACACCAAGTTTGTACTGTATTTGAATTTGCACAATTTACCTTCATTCAGAAACATTTGAACATATCTTTCAGCCCTACATAAACACTTCAAATGACTTCTTACACTTGTTCATGTAAATATTACTAGTTACTTGGAATGTTGATTTGTCTTATTCTAAAATAATGACAGCATCTCTTGAATTATATTTCTATTAGTGATAAAATAGTTTTTACTAATCAGGATATTATTTTTAAGTGTAACAGTAACTTCTATAAAAATTTAATTTATTATATTTTATTGTATAATATAATAAAAGTATCCTCATCTAAATCAGCTTAGACAGAGGCATGCTTTTGCAAAATTGTTAGCTGTATCATTGTACTAAGAGAGCTGGGTGCTAGCTTTATACTTGTTTATAATTATTTTGATGGAAATTTTGTCAATACCATTTACATTTCAGTTTTACCTGTCTATGAACCCAACATAGTTTCTCCTTTAATTTTTCTGGAGACATTATTTGAATATAGCTCATAATTAATATCCCGTGTATTAACCTAGGGTCAAAGCTGACTATGTCACGTTTTAAGTTCTTTTGTTGTAGTGGTTTGTTTTTAAACTAACTCAGTTTTAAGGCAGTGAAATATAATTTTAACACTTATGTCTTAAGTTATTGTTTGATCAATATTATTAATGAAAACTTAAATTATTTTTAATACCTAATTTGCATTAGTTATTTGAATTGATAATGAGCATATCTTATTTTAATTTTAAGGTATAATAAACTGTTTTACTAATAGTAATATTGATTTTATTCTTTTCAGCCACAACATAGTACGAAACCAAAAGGAAAGGTTTCAGAATCTTTTAAAAATTGCAACGAAATTCTCAAAGAACTTTTTTCTAAAAAGCATTCGGTAAGTGTAGTATCCTGTCATATATTATGTATTATGTACAATTATAACAAAACCTTGATAATTCACACATTAAATAGTGGTATGATGTGTGACATAAAAGGTTTAGTACTGTACATGGTTCTCACAATACAGTACAGTTCAGGCGGGCCCCCAAATTTACAGGGGTTAGGTAATTAAAATGGCTGCGAATCGCCAAATCCGCAAATAACATTTGCAGACCGGGGAGGGGGGTTACTTTTGTACTTGTGTACGAAGAAATGTATCTTCCCTTTATGTGTTTGCCCTTAGGACAATTATTTCTTTTACCTGTAATGTACAGTATATGTGTGTGTCTGTGTATGTAGACACACACACACACACAACATATGCAAATAAATAATAATGGGAAAATACTCTCAAATAATCAAAAACAAATTTAGTAAAAATGTGACAGTCTACTGTACTTCAAGTCCGTGCTTTATCAGTAAAGTAATAAAGCACGGACTTGAGGGTAGACTGTCACATATATATTAAATTTGTTTTTTATTATTTGTGAGAGGATTTTCCAATTATTATTTATTTGTATGTGTTTTGTGTGTGTATGTGTCTACACACACACATTTACAACATATTTACAATACAGGTAAAGGAAATTAATGTCTCTAGAACGAATGGCTCCCTGTCCCAGCCGCGAAAATGCCAGCAACTTTAAAACTACCCACAGACATTCTTGGGCACATCCAGGGTGTCATCCGCGAATAATAGAGGACCACGAAATAAAAATACGCAAACTTGGGGGGCCCCTGTACTAAGAAAAATTGGAAAAATGCCTCAATATCTTGAACAACTTGGAACAGACATAAGAAGTAAAATTGACAAAAATGTGGAAACCATGGCCTGTACTCTACTGTATTCTACTGTACTGTACTCTACTGTTTGTAAAGAGTGAGAGTAATGTGCTGGCAAAGAGAAGGTTGTTAGAAATACACTATTTGAATGTGACTAAGAATGGCAAAGTTCAATGAATAACTTTTATGGGGTGTCTATTTGAAGGAAATTAAAGGTTATTGCAAGGCAGAACAAGTTTATGGTCTTGAAAATATGGAGTTTTATATACAGATGTGGGACTTGGAAAAACAAGTGGGATATAAAAATATAATGAGAAGGAAAAAAATGAATTTGAAGCAGAAGGAACTGAAGGATTGTACAGCACTGTGTAATGCTTCCTGCCTTGACATATGGCAGTGACAAAGGGGCTTTGAATGAAGTGCAATTATATACATACTGTACAGGGTACAGTACTCTGAGGATTGTGTTCTTGTAGATCCTGTGTACAAATCATCAGATTCACGTGACTTAAACTTCACAAATTCTTTTGAAAATTTCAAACTGTATTATTTCTCCAAATTTCTCTTTTGTAAAGGATTAAACACCCGTTTTGTATATTGTATTCACTTGGTTTTTAGCCCCATGCTGTTTAAGAACCTGGGGCTCAGTCTAGCTATTGTATTGATTGGGTCAACAATTTGGACTCTATGTTGGTGTTTGTAGATACTTTTGCTTGGTCCCTTAAATAGATGTACAAAAGCTCTCTGGGAAGACTATTTCTGCCCTGGTTTGAAGTCGGTGTCTCATTAGTTAAGGAATATAAGATTCGATGCAGTGCATAGGTATAGACACTGAGGAAAGCCATGAGAGCCTGATGTGACATGCTCAGAGCCTGGACTGCAATCATATTAAGTTAGATAATTTAAATCTTTTGCTATTTTCAAAGGGGTTAAGTCTTATTCATCCTTAAAGCCTGGGTGACGTACGACCTCCCCCCGCCCCCCCCATGCAGGCATATTTACAGGCATTCCTCGCTTTACGGAAGGGTTGCGTCCCTGGAAAATTGACCGTATCGCAAAATTCCGTAACGCGAAACCTATTTTCCCATTGACTTCCACTATAAAACGAGATGCTTTCCTAAGGAATTTTTTTTTGGCCCCCAAAACGTAATTCAAGCACTTTTATGAATGAAAATAAACATTTATAAACACATACAATACAGTGCATTAAATAATTTATGGTATACAGTATAGTCTTGATTTACGCGGTCAGTTGAACCCGTGGTGGTCCGCGTAAAACGAGAAACGCGTAAACGAAATAACAGAACATAAGGGATTAATTGAAATAGAGACTGGGCCGACCCCCAAACTACACTTTTTCTGACACAATATGTACATTGTAGTAAAAATAGTAACTTAATTTTATGATGGTATGCACACACACATAATATAGAAGAGAAATATCAATAAGAGAATAATATACTGTTCCAGGTAAACGAAAAATCAAGGTTTAACACTTACGTTAGTAGAAGAGATGGGTCGGCATACGGGGATGGCGGCTGGTTCCGAGGCAGAGGGCAGATTAGTGGCCCTCAGGTGAATCACTATCACTATCCACCACAGATGTCAGGACCTCCCTGACAAACCCCTCAAAGTCACCATCACTGTCTATCACTGACTTGGGCTGGTTGTGGTGGGTTGCGGGTGAAGAAGTTATGCTGATGGCTAGCGTTGATGTGGTCTTGATACATCTTGATTTACGGCTCCATAGTTGCAACAGATGGTTATTGGAGACTTCATATCGGTGATTTACTGGGTCTTTGGACAGGATGAGCTTGAGTCTTGGCATACTCGATGGCTTCCTTTACATCACCATGTGTTAACTTCTGTTCTCGTTCTGCCGCACCACCTGCCTCCTCACTGACGTCATCGTCGTTCAACATTTCGTCGGCAGTTACCTCAGGTTTCCTGATTACCTCCATGATGTCGTCGTTGGTGGTCTCGGAGAAGCCTGCAGCTGTAACACTGTGCAGCCTCTCTTGCAAGGTACACTGCCACTGTAACAGACTGAGCCTCACCAGCCACAAGTTGCCTCTGCCTCCTACCTGGGATACCTTGCAACACATGCTGCCATGCGTGACGAATCGTTGCCACAGACAGCTGCCCCCATGCCTCCACCAAGAAATCAACAGCTTTCTTGACGTTAAACATTTTCTAATACTGTTTTACTCGCACTTCATGCTCCGCCAACTCTTCTTGTGGATCCTCGCTCTTGCTATCTGTGCCACTCAGAAGGTTTCGCAACTCATCCTTGGTGTTGGTGTAGTCGTTCAGGAGCTTAAACTTGTTTGCGGAGAAAGCAGCCTTCACGTTGCATATCAACTCTTGGTCCATGGGCTGGATTAACGACGTAGTGTTGGGAGGAAGGAAGACCACTTTTACACTGGGGTGACGATCCAACAGTAGGGGCGAGTGTCCTGGGTGCGTTGTCAAGGAGCAACAAAATATTAAATGAAACATTATGTTGCTTGCAGTATTTCTTAACGTCGGGAACGAAACAGTTGTCAAACCAAGAGAGGGACAGACCAGTGAACATCCACGCCTTACGTGTGGTTAGCCAGTGGACATTTAGCTTGGTCATGTCCATGTTTTTGTAGGCGTGCGGCTTGCAGGCTGTGTGGATCACGAACAACTTGAGCTTACAGGTGCCGGAGGCATTGGTGGTGAACAGGACGGTGATGCGCTCCTTTTGCAACTTCCGGCCCCGACCCTTGCTGGCAGACTTGACAACGAAGGTCTTGGAAGGTAATTTCTTTCAAAACAGCCCGGATTCATCCGTGTTGAACACCTGGTCGTCGGTGTACTGTCCTTCCTCCATAACTTCTCGTAAGAATGGAGGAAAATCACTCGCCGCAACACGGTCAGCACTCGCTCCTTCACCAACAATGTTAATGTTGTTGATCTTGTTCCTCTTCTTAAACCCTTGCAGCCACCCAGAGGAAGCAGTGAAGGGTTTGGGGGGCTTTGCAATTCCCTTCTTTCGCGCCACTGATTCGTAGAGTTCACGGGCGTAGTCCTGCACTGCCCGCATGTCGACCGCCATGTTCCATCTTACCTGACGAATCAAGTAGCTCACCAGTAAATTCTCAGTCTTGAGCAGCACCTTATTCTGACAACAATTCACCATTGAAGCACTTGCAGACTTTGTGATGCTCATGTGTTCTTGGTGGCATCCTTCTTGATTATACGAATCGTAGATTCGTTAACTCCATGCTGGCGCGCGAGATCAACTTGTCGGGTTCCCTTTTCTAATTCCTGGACGATTTTGTATTTTACTTCGTAACTTAGGGCGCGTCATATCTTCTTGGACTTGGGGCGGCTTGGTCCAGGTAATTCAAGGTTTTTCTGGGGTGGTGGGAGCGCAGTGGAAGCCATTGTTGAACAGATTAGCGGGCACAAGAGAGAACAGTATACGCGGAGACTGAGAACAATGAGACTGGCCCGGCTAGGTCAGTGGCCCCTTCCCTCCCTTGGCTGGGCACGTCATGTTACATTAGACCAATGACAGCTAGCGGGGGAGGGAGGTAAGGATGCGTGGCCCAATCACAGTCCGATACGTCATATGACGTCAGCGATAACGCTACAGCGACATACTGCGCACCCTCCCCGCGCCGCTTCCCGCGTATGGTCAAGAATGTACCGCATGAATAATAATTGGCGCGTCTGGACCTCTTGCGCCGCTCGCCACGTAAATGATGCAATGAACTGCGTAATTTAAAATTGTCATTCTGGCAAGGTGCCGCGTAAATGACCAAACGCATAAACAAAATCCGCGTAAATCAAGACTATACTGTACATGTAATATGAAAAGAAATGTAGTTGGAATAAATAAAAATATTGTACTGTACTCACCTTTGCGGCTTTTTTTTTGCACTACTGCGGTCACTTCCACTTGATGGCCTCTTTCCAGTCATCTTGAATAAGGGTAATGCACTCTACTGTACTTAGTCTGTTTGTAAAAGTTAAATCCAACTGCTGGGGCGCAAAACATGCGCGCACAATGGATGTAAACAATGGAGTGACTCCTCATGGCGATGCCACTCTTGGCGGTAGCAAACACCAAGAAATCCACACAAAACAAATTATAATTTTTAACAAAAATGTTTAATTTTATATAGTGATTTTTTTTAATTG